GTGTGGATGCGCTGATGCTTGATGAGCACAGAGCTCCAGGAAAAGCTCTTCCCGCTGTCAGGAGACGGGTAGGGTTTATCTTCTGTGTGGATGTGTTGATGCCTGATGAGCCCAGAGCTTCTAGCAAACCTCTTCCCACAGTCAGGACACGGGTAGGGCTTCTCTCCCGTGTGGATGCGCTGATGCTTGATGAGCACAGAGCTCCAGGCAAAGCTCTTCCCCCTGTCAGGAGACGGGTAGGGCTTATCTTCTGTGTGGATGTGTTGATGCCTGATGAGCCCAGAGCTTCTAGCAAACCTCTTCCCACAGTCAGGACACGGGTAGGGCTTCTCTCCCGTGTGGATGCGCTGATGCTTGATGAGATCAGAGTTCCAGGCAAAGCTCTTCCCGCAGTCAGGACACGGGTAGGGCTTCTCTCCCGTGTGGATGCGCTGATGCTTGATGAGATCAGAGTTCCAGGCAAAGCTCTTCCCGCAGTCAGGACACGGGTAGGGCTTCTCTCCCGTGTGGATGTGCTGATGCCTGATGAGATGAGATCTTCTAACAAAGCTCTTCCCACAGTCGGAACACTTGTAGGGACGTTTCCCTGTGTGGACCTGGAGGTGAGTGGTGAGGTTTGATCTACTCCCAAACTCCTTCCTGCACGTGGGACACACGTAGGGTTTTTCCCCAGTGTGGACATGTTGGTGACGCAACCAATGGCTGCTGCTACCAAAGCTCTTCCCACACTCAAGGCACTTGTAGGGCTTCTCAGCCATGTGGAGCTGACACTGTTGACTTAACGTGGAATGGTCACCAAAGATCTTCCCACACTCCACACACCTGAAGGGTCTCTCCTCTCTGTGGATTCAGTGGTGCCGGCTTAAAATTGATCTGAAGTTAAAAGTTTTCCCACAGTTCGGGCCGTTGTAGGATGTGGCACCGGGGCACGGATGTCACGTGGGACCAGACACGAGGTGGTTCCAACAGGGAACACCTATAAGGATGCTCACTCTAATGGACAACTGGGGGTGGGTGGGTGGATCTCCTTCCATTGGTGGAGATGTGCTGGGTGTATCCTGAGCCAGCCTTTCCTGCCTTCCTCA